GCAGGTAAAATAATACTCCGAGTACCAAACTAGTGTGTTGCAAGTTAGTATGTACGTCCGCCATAAAGGATGGGTTAATAATAATTGTTAGAGGTAAACTATACTCCGAGTACCAAACTATTGTGTGTGCAAGTTGAGTGGTGGTCGAGCGTTTTTGGGATTAGTCGGTATCGGTGCTCCGTCAATAAAGGATGAGGGTAAATATTAATTGTTTTAGCTGGTAAAACATACTCCCGCAGTACCAAGTGTGTGTGTTTTGGTTGGCTTCGATAGACTACATTAGACTGTGTGTTCAGTTGAACACAGTGTTTGGATTTGAGCCAAAGAATCAAATCTCTTATTTGACAGTTTAGGGCATCAGCCTTCGGCTTTCTGGTTTTTAGTCTGTACGTCGCTGTATGTGCAAGTTAGTATGTAAGTCCGCCATAAAGGATGGAGTAAATAATAATTGTTAGAAGGTAAAACATACTCCGAATACCAATGTGTGTGTGCTAAGATAGTTGGGCAGTATTGTTCACGGCTCCGTCGCAATAAGGTCGTAGTACTGGTGTACTGCGTGCAGGGTACAATAATTAATGCGTTCAGCAGAGGGTAAAAAACATACTCCGATTACCAGAGTATGTGTGCAAGTTAGTCTGTACGTCCGTCATAGAGGATGAGGTAAATATTAATTATTAGCTGGTAAAACATACACCGAGTACCAATGTGTGGTGCCTGTTTTTAGCGCTTGGCTACTCGATAGAGACTACAGTAGACTCGTGCTGTCAGTTCGAAGCCAGTGTTTGGATTTGGCGCAAGCAGATGCACATCATCTGTTTTTCTGACAGTTGAGGGCATCAGCCTTTCAGGCCTTGTTCGCTTCATGTGCTGTCGGTGTGTGGGAAGCTTGATCTCGCTATACGTATACTGTTAAACGCAGTCCCTTGTGCGTTTCGTGTGGCGCACGCTGTTTTCGTAATCCGGGTCCGTTAGAGAATAGGGTATTTATCTTGTCTGTGTTTAGCCTGTGGACACTAGTAGTTTCTACGCAAGGACCGCAGATACAACTCGGTGTGCCGCCTGTATTGGACCCGCATTCAGTAGCTGTACTCCACGCTAAACACTAGAGTGGAGGTTTTGCCTAAGACATAAGGGACATTTCCTTGTTAAGAATAGGGATTTATATTTTGTGTTCTGTTGTACACATTACTCTGGACCCATGTTGTGGCGAAAGCGCGTAACTGATACCAACTGCATGCCCGTCAAGTCTGGTGGCTATTGGCAGACTTGTCGTGTTCCAGTTCGAACACGTGTCCCTGGTTTAATCATTGCTTTGAAATTGGGTGGGGGGGAACACACCTTAGACCTTTCAACAATCAAACTACCTGCTGTTTTCGTGCTATGACAGTTTCGGAGGGATCAGCCGTTCGCCGGTCTGTCGGCCCTTTGTTCTCGCCGTCTTGCGGAACATCTTCTTCACCTTCAAGTCCCACCACCATGTGCGTCTCTGCATTCTAACGCGTGTCGTTTGCGTAGCGATACATTTTACAAGGCGCCCCATTGCCAACCCTATACTCCCCCGGCTCACCCTCTCCCGTACAGGTACGGTCGACCTGCTACCGTGCGCCCTCCCACCACCCGCCCAACATGCGTGCCCCTTACATCCATCCTCCAAAACGTACTACGTGCCTCGGTCTTCCCACCCTGCGCGCCCGCCGGGCTTACGATACACATACAGAGCAACCATTTGACTATATCCTTCGCTTAACAAAGTGCCTCTTTTAACAGGTCGCTTCTCTGAGCCATGAAAACAACAAAAGAACCATACAGGCTCCACTAAGCGTACTGCTCATAACAGGCCAGTAAGGGCCATTGGTGCGTGCCTATCCTATATATCCATCGCTTAACTAATGGTAGTGCACCGTCCTACCCGTATCCATCCATGAAGTGTGCCATTTTCCGCCTCAATCTGGCCACAGCACTGGGCCCGACTTTTGTACCCGCCACCATGGCTGGCGCCAACTACTTACTCATCGTCCGGAACGCCATCCCATCCATCACCACCCATCGCCCCCCACTGCTCCGCCAGTTCCACGGAAGACGCCTACTGACTAGCAACATCTGCATAGAAGAAGTCATGGTTAGTAGCTAGCTAGCGACGTCTGGAGACGACCAAGCAGATTCTCCGATGGACGCTCACCTATGCAGTGACGTGTCCCTGCTTCGGTGGAATACACTCCTGACCTCATTAGGCCCTGATAGCTTTCTCGAAACGTCATCTTGGAACACGGAATGCTCCGTCGGCATGCTCATTCCTCCAGAGTAGCCAACCCTCGGACAACAACTGGACGGAACTGTCAATGAGTCTCCTTAGTTTCGCGTGCGTCGTTAATCAGCTCTCAACCCCAACGACTTCATGCAGTGACGTGTTAGACTGCATAGAGATCTTGGTCCTCGAGTTGCCTCATGCAGCAGACGGTGGGTAGGTATAACACAACGTGTGTTCATCCACCCTTGAAGCAACACAGTTCGGCCGGCATCAAATATCGAGACTCCTCGCTGGCTCCCCGCTCTCTCTCGCCCACGATACGCAAGATCGCACGCTGGTGCTCGACAACCGCGTTCAATCACAGCATAGCCCTCGTGGCAATACACGGCGCTCCTTCATAAGCCTTATTCGCGACTAGATACTAGATAGGGTCTGAGCTCGACTCATGACTGAGTCTCTCCTGTGAATTAGTCATTGAGACAGGTGGGTTTCTCAATAACCCGCATCTAGTCTATACATTAGGTTGATGATGAGCAGCATCGCTCTATGCGTATGATTAGTCCATAGCGACTGAGGATGCAGGCGCCCCCATAGTACTTCCGACACCCTACTAGATAAATGCTAGAGGTACTCACATATTCATCCACTCGGCTTTCCGTTTTTATGGACATCGTGGAAGTGGTAGATCCTCAGCGGTATGATTTCTACCGCAACCTATTCTATCTCACTCTACAGTATCCCGCGCGAGTTCAGATCTACGATCCTTTGTTTGTGGATCTCTTTCGTTTATTAGTTTTCATTGTTTTCTAATCCTCTCATAAAATTCATTCTCTCAAACTCAAAAAAATCGAAAGATCTTTACAATAACTTTTAGCGTTAATAAGTCATGCATATTTAGTAGTAGGGGAAACGCACAATAGCTATTTCTACGCTACCCTCAATACGCTATATCATCATGCACTCACTTTGGAGTCCAATGGACACGATTGTAACAATTATTATTTACCCCATCCTTTATGCCGGACGTACACACTAACCAGCACACACAGAGACGTACAGACTAACTTGCACATACAGCGATAAAAGTGTGAAAGACCCTCAGTCGGTTGAGGGCAACTTGCACATACAGCGATAAAAGTGTGAAAGACCCTCAGTTGGTTGAGGGCAAAGTGTGAAAGACCCTCAGTCCGTTGAGGGCAACACAAAAAGGCATTCGGGTGAAGCTTGCACAAGTTGTCGGAGGCCAACCCAAGCATGGTGCAGGTAGCACAATGCCAGAAAGCGTTAGTAGTAGCAATGATGCTCCCTCCTCCTCGACTAGACATGGCCAATGGATTTTTACTGCGATCATGTTGCTGTCCTTTGCGGCATTCCTATTGAGCTTGAGTGCGGCAGGACGATGCAACTTTGCGAACCGTTGGCTCCAGTTTCGAGATTCCTACACGGTCGAGGACTTGTGCACATCGGGGTCCTTCGTGTCCCAATTTGAGATTGAGACCTGCTTCACAATCTTCAGGGGACACAGTGTTGGATTTGATCATTGGAGTGTCACTACAGACAACGGTCAAGTCTGCTTGGCCTATGTTCTGCAGGTTCCACTCCAGGGCTGGGTAGCACCAGAATTCGACAATTTATTCAAGTCTGCCTATGGATTTGCTATATTGGCATGCGTCTTTGGCGCCTTTGGATTGTTCACAATTCTTTGTGCCACTTGTTGTCCCCTTGCCGAAGAACGTGTCAGGGGTATGGCAGGTTACTTTTTCTTGGCCACAATCTGTCAGGGACTCGCCTTTCTCATCTTTCCCAGCAATGTCTGTCAAACACAATTCTTTGAACAATATTATCCCAGCATTGACGTTGATCCCTTTGTTCGTGGAGTCAAGTGTGACCTCGGACATGGTGCCAAAATGGCAATCACTGCGGCAGTCTTGTATTTCGTCTGCATGCTCCTTTGTCCCTTGGCATCACCCATCATGCCCTTTGGATACAAGAGATTGCCGTGTCAAGACAACGCCGGGCCTATGCATGTGGAAGAACTGACAGAAAAAGCCATTGGGGATGCTCCAAAGAGGGCCCAAGAAGAAGCAGAGGCAGCTGCTGATGAGCCTGCTTAGTGGAATTTGCCTCCAACTCCAAAAGGGGCGCGGGGAAACACTGATATTGGCTAGCTAATCAATCTCTAAGTTTAAAAAAAGGTTCTGTAACTCTTACATACAACGTCGACACATACATGATTCTCGTCATCACAAACATTTACACAGCACACTACAAGATATGACGGGACCAAGCCCGTACAAACATCAATCCTGACCCCCTGGTGCTGCAGATTGTTGATTTTCAGGGTCTGCGGCAGGTGTTTCTCCTGGTGGCGCTTGAGCCTCTTGTTGGGGTACGGGTTGTTGTTGTTGATAATAGGACGGTGCCTGTCCTGGTCGATACCCAATGGGTGGTGGGGCAATCGCTGCAGGGGCAAGACCACTGCATACCAAATACAGCACGGAAGCAGCAATGCTATACTTGGCACCCAATCCCAAAGAGCAAGTGACACTCTCAATGGCATCACGCATCTGAAACTGGGGGACATATTGACTGAACCAATCCACAGAGCAAATGTTGCTAGAGTAGAGCAGGAAGGTAAAACATTGGCAGATGCATGCAAAAGAGAAATAGCAGCTTAGCCCTTTGATTCGGTCCTGGGACATTGGACAACACGTGGCAAAAATCATCGTGAACCAGGCAAGAGCCCCAAAAACATTGGCCATTATCGAAAACGTTTGTGCTGCTGTGAATGCTGCGGTTTGCGGAAAAAAGACAAGTGTGAGGACGTCAAATTGAAAAAAGTCATCAATTGCTTTTAGATCATACGATACCGTACCTGCATCAAACTCGGGTGTGATCCAACCCCAGGGAAAGAGAAGGGTATAACTAATGCAGACTTTGGTGTTTACGGGAACGGTCCCATACCAGTGGTAGAAACCCACTCCATGCTCGGTAAGTATTGTATTGCAGAGGGCTGTGTTCAGATCGTATGTAAAATTGGCGGCAGAGCAGGTCGATGCCAGATCAAACTGATCCTTGTAAGTCACTCGACGTTCTGCAAAGTTGCACGTCCACGCCGCATTATTTCCACAGACAAGAGCCGCCACGGACAATAGCGCCAGAAACATGTAGTTGCACTGTCCGACCGCAATGGCTTTTCGTTCCTGATCCGTGAGCGTGTCACCGGCCGCTTCGGTAGGTGGTTGTTCTCCGTTCATTGTAGATTGTCAAAGGTTGCTTAGTAAGGGTTAACGCCAACTGCAATCAGTCCACTAGCTGACTGATTAAAGATTAGCTGTTTGTTTCGGTCAAACAAACAGATGACTGCAATTGAGTCGAAGATCCTTGCTGGAGATGTCGGACCGATTGAGGACAAGGACAAAAAATGAGAGTGGTGACATCCGAAGTCCGAAGTCATTCACGTGACCTGTCGACAATGAGCGGTCGAAGCTGCAATACCGCCAAAGAAAAGAGAACTCAGACTGGAGGTGAAAGGCGTCTCTGCACCTTTGGCGTCGGCGCTGCAACTATGTAGCTATCTGCAGCTATACCTGGTAGCTACTGTAACACATCGTAACCCAACAACTTCGAGTTCCTGTTACTCGTCTCCTACTAGCCACAGCCGGACAAGCTAGCTGAAGTTGCAACTATCTTATTAGTTATTAGGATACAAGAATCAGCTGAACAATCATCCTTGATTGAGGCCTTGGCTTACAAAGCTTCCGTTTGGGCATTCACTGAGGAAGAATAGTAGTAGCATCATAATTGTGGAAAAGTTGAGCTTCGCCAGGAAGAACTTGCCACTCCTGAGAAAACTCATTCAAAACTTGAATCAGAGTCTTGCCATCACGTCCGACACGAAGACCATTGAGAGCATGAGATCCCAGCAATCCAGTGGAGCCATTGTAGCTCTTGCTGCCCTTTCCTTCCACATCCATATGGTCACGGCCATGGTGGATCTTGAAGACAAGTTTTTCACTGTATCCATCCACGTAAATAATGGCCTCTTGATCATCCCCATGTTCCCTAAAGTGAACCACAAATCCATCAATGGAAGACAGATACCATGTGCCATCTTCCAGGTCTTCTTTTGGTTCTCCATTGATCCAGATCCATTCCTTTCCTTGTCCTCCAGCAATCTCTAGCACATCCTCACCTTGCAGCTTGAGTCACGCTGGATGCAGAGCGATGGACAGAAAGTGCAATCACACCCATGTAAGAAGGAAATCACGTGGCAAGGGAAATATGGCTGCAGCGGTTGTTTACCTTGAATTGTGGACCTTGACCATGAGCAAAGGCCATGTCGTTGGTTTCATGGGTTGCTGGCTTCATGTCGGGCAACAGGTCGGACGAAGGAATTGGATCGCCAATGGCGTCGCGGGCTGCGGCCCAGTCAAACTGTTGCGGGGTCAACAAAAGTGAGAAGGAAAGAGCAAGGAGACGGATCATATTTGCCTTTGTTCTGTGATGGGGACGACCTGTGGTGTTTGCTTGATTCAGATCGGAGAAAAGTGAGAGAAAGATGTTGCTCTCGCAAAAGGTTCGACTTACAGAGATACTCTGCCGAAACTTTGCTGTAAAGTTCTCCGTACTCATCTGCAGCTACAAATCCCCTCGCTTCGGGAAGAATGATCTATCCGGTGCGTCCCCAATGCAAATTTTACTAAGCGAATGGCTTGAAAAGGGTTGATCGATAATTCTGTGGGGCCAACAGCTGACCCACCCAACCACCTGACACCTGACCCGCAGGTAATTAATTAACTGGCTTCAACTAAGCTTTAATTACAACTTATTTAGAGGTCGTTCCTTGTCCCTTGTCTCTTGGCTCTTGGCTGCTTGCTGGCTCTGATGCCGGCTTCCGGTACCCTACCGGTACCGAGGGGTGTCCTGGATTGTGTCAGGAAAGTTACTATGGGTTTGAGGGGACTATGGTGGGGATGGGTTGCAGAGGAGGAGGGCAGGATGCAGGAACCCAAGCCGAACAACCGAGGGAGCAGAGCAACATCAAAACCAAAGAAGGAGAAGGGGTCAAGGGAGGAGGGCGGGGAGGGGCAAGGGAGTAAGACTAGTGGAAGAGATCAAGGGAGTAAGACTAGTGGAAGAGATCAAGAGCGCCTCAAACATCCCAACGCTTGGAGAGCTTGAGAGCTGGAACACGAGTGCCTCATAGGCACATCATAGCAGCACGAGCTCTAGAGGGCAATGATCAACCGGGCAGAAACAAAGGAGCGAACCATAGAGTAGGGCTTGGACCAGCTGTGAGCCAAAAGCTGTGATAGCTGTTGGAGAACAGCAGTAGCTTTGGCAGCAAAGAGGTTGTACGGTATGTGATAAGCCAGGTACATGTCGGCGGGACACTCTCCTGGTATATGGATGTGGATCCACAATCCACACACTCCGAACGAAGAGAAGAACAGAACGATCCCATCGCTCCCACGAGACGAGAGGACAAGATGAGCAAACGTACATGCATTATTCTTATCTTGTTGAACGAAATTTCCGAAATGTATTATCCATCGTTGTCGACGGAAACAAGCATAGCTACGTCGATTTTCATGCCACGTTGCAGCAACACAGACTTGAAACAAAACCGAGTTGTGAAGCCAACAATCCGAATGAGAAACTGGCATTGACAAACCACGAACGGCACAATAGCTCCTCGTGAAGCTCGCAGCGAAAGCAAAGCTATAGGTACCACTTCCGGTTCGTGAATCTTCGGTGGGCCAAGTTTGTGCCACTGTCGCTCATCACACCCGCAATCATTGCAAGTTTATGGGCTTCCATCGTCACACCAGGGACTTTGACGGGACCAGTCTGTCGAAATCAAAGAGGAAAGGATGAGCGTTAGTCACGAGCAACGAAAAGGAAATCAAAGAAGCTGGATGGAGACATACCCAATTGGGGTAATCGTAGCACATCTCCCAAGTCAATTTCGAAATGTTGAGCGAATCAAGTGCAGGATCGCGCTCGACAGTAATGAATCGAGTGGGTTTTGCTGTACTGTATTTCTTTGGAGCACGTCCTTGGATGTAGAACGTGTCGTGTGTAAGGCCTTGGATGCCATCAACCAAGGTTCCAGAAGGAGCTGCGTATTGCCCATCAGTCGTCAATAGTTTGATAGCGATCCTCTTCTGGCAGACAATGTAGGCAAGAGGGACCTTTCCTTTCGGTCGTTCTGCGATTGCTGTTTCGTTTTGAGGCTTCCCCACTGGGTCTGCTTTGATGGCGGACTTGGCTGGTGGTTTGACATCCATGGACGATTGCGTCGTGTCTCCACCGCCGAGATCTCCGTTGTTGAGACCCAACCGAATGCCAGTGATTTCTGGGAGTTGACAGCAGGAATACATTTGAGCAAAACGATACAACATGGGTCAAAAATCACACCTTTCAGTTTTGCACTCACCATCCATGGCATCGTCGCCGAAACTCGAGTCTGCTATTCCATCGCGCCACACTATACAAGAGAGCGGCGAGACATCAAGGAGCGATAGTGCATTTCGGACAGTGTTGCATAAATGCTGCTGCAGACCAAACTCCTCTCCGGCTTCACGCTGAAACACCTCCGAGTAGACCTCCACCTTCTGCGACTGTTCATAGCCTGGGCGGACAACCTGGACAACAATGGCTGCAAGGAAAAATGTGAGGTTGGAAGCCTACAAACACCACGTCATGCTGCTCAAGATTTCGTACCAGCACAAGATGGCTTTGCCACACGCCGTCCAGCTTTGGCGTCGTACTCTCTGGGCGAGTGAAAAACGTCGACACCGACCATCACGCACGGAAGGGGAAGCTCTGCAATTGCAGCTAGAAGCATGAGACCTGTGAACAGTTCCAACGGTGTCTCGCAGCAGTCCGAACGTACCTGGCGGAAGTCTCACCCACCACAACCTGGCCCCACATTTCTGGAGGACTTGCCGGGCAACCCCCTGAAGAATCATCCTGCCTCTACCCTCTTTGTTCCGAGGTGGCCGTTCGTGATCGAATGTTTTGAAGCTAATACACTGCGAAAGATAGCCATGCTCTCCAAGCTTCGGCGACAGCAGCATTTATTCAGAAAATGAAAAAGGTCAGCCAGGCAATAGTGCCAACATGAGTTGCTTTGAAATCACGTGTGCTTACCACTCTTTTTATCACTGGATAGGCAGGATCATACTTCGATGCTGGTTTGATGAGGTCGAGTACAAACACATTTTGAAGTTTACTGCGTCCAAAGTAGTCTTGAACAGCGTTGCAGTGATTCTGAAGCTCGCCTGCAAATTTGGTGGGTACACAAGAAAGGTAGAATGCAAGGGTAATGTTAGATGTGACATACAAATTCTTGTGCAAGCGACACACAACAAGCCAAACGTGACATACCATGTCCTCCTTCAAATTTGACCAAATCAGCTGGTCTCTGTTGAAACTGAAAACAAGAATTCAGGGAGTTGACATTGTCTCGAACCTTTCCGTACACATCCATGACAGCATTTTCGCTGAGGTGTCCATGGTGCACAACCACCACGTTGAAAATATTCATCTCGTTGGGGTCGACCCTGTATGTGGACCTTTTCAAAGTGCCCCAGGTATCCCCTTTCAACTTGAAGTCTGGCACTCTGACTCCGTTTGCCACCAATTCAGGGACCGACATGACTACAGCTTTGGCAACAATCACCTTGGCTTTGAATTTCGGATTGGCCGGGTCGCTTTCGTCCTTCTCCTGCTGCAAGGTAATGCCATAGGCCGACAAAAGTTGCCCTCCCTGTCCATCGCCCAGGTATTGCAGCATCTTGTCGACTGCTTCATTCCGTTCTTTTGGTAGGTAGCTGGCAATTTGAGGCAGCTGCTCCCTGACGGAAGAGCTCAGCTCGTTTCCACAGACCAACTCTGCGGGAAAATATATGCTCTCCTTCCGACGACCCTGAACTTCTACCATGGGATAGACATCGGGGTATTGAAGGCTAAGCAGTAGTGATCGACAGAAGCAGTGTCAGAAGAGTGTAAAATAGCATACACGGCCCACCGTTTCCATCACTTACCTTGTATTTTTGCGTATCTCAAAGTATTCACTATGCAACATATCTCGGTCGCCTTGCTCACTCTTGAGGCCCTTGACAGGAAAGGTCTTGGGGGAGAGATCAAATCTCAGAGCCACAATCGAGTAGCATTTCTTTTCGAGCTTGTAGATTACCACTTGCCCTTCCCACTGACGTTTCAATTTGTCCTTTTCATGATCCGATAGATGGCGACCAACGTTGTTGCCATAGATTTCGTCCAGCAGCGATGTACTGCGCATAATCTTGGAGCGCAGGTCCACGGTCAACGTCAAGTGAGTTGCCGACACTTGTCCGGGTGCTCGCAACTTGCTCCGGTCCAAACCAAAATCGCACGAGTATGCCCGGTAGATTGTGATTCCCAAGCTATTGCCACGCCAATCCGTGGGTTCCGTGTATTGGGTTGGATCAATAAACTCGGTGCCCCACTTTGTCAGTTTGTCTTGTAGTGCTCTGGCCAAGGCCACATTGCAATACTGGAGAAAGAACTTGTCGTCGGGTTCCAGCAAGGTAGGATCATCCGGATTGGTGTACACTGGCATATGACTCTGAGCCTGGCAGTGCTGGAGTAGAGACCGAGTGTCGGAAAATTTCATGCCACAATTGCTACACTGATGCTCGAATTGCAGAACATTGGCTCCCAGAGCTTGTGGTTGCTTGGGTTTGTCCATGGATTTTGGGCACTTGAACTTTTGCTCCTTGAGCACGGTGAAGGTTTCTCCACGGTCGGTAGTGACAAGCTTCAACGGCAATTTGTGGCCTTCAAGCCCTTCGACCTGGACAGTGGAGAAGAAGAATGATCCCTCAAAGAACATGGACTTTCGGATGCGTTGCTTCTCTTTCGGTGACTTGTCGGCTAGCAGATTGTCAAAGATTGCCTTGTTAAACAAAGCCCGGCGGCGATAGCGGCTGTCGACTTGTTCCTTTTCATTCTTCATTGCAGCTGCTGTATAATAGTAAAATCGGAAACTGCTCGGTAGCTTGCCGAGGATCTTGTTCGTTTTGACCTTTTTGATGTCTTGCAAATCAGGCTCTTCTGGTTCTTCGCCTCTGTGCCCTCGTCCTCCACCCCGACCACCACGGCCTCCACGAAAGTCTCGACCACCACCGCCACGGCCTCCGCCACCACGACCATAGCTATCTCGACGATCGTGGCCACGGCCGCCGTGATAGTCTCGGCCGCCGCCGCCGTGTCCTCGGTCTCCGTCTCCGCCTCGATACCCTGAAACAAGGAGAAATTGTTAGATATTTCAGTAGTAAATCCAGAGACGTCTCGTTTCACAGATTCTATTTCTGTTCCATATTATATGGAGCCCAAGACTCTGACTCGGCTCAGCTGCGTGCCTGGAGAGCGTTCAATCAATCCAACTCCAGAACTTCGATCCAACAGGCAACGAACTCACCTCCTCCTCCACCACCACCTCCATAATGAGAGTAACGTTGGCCATGGCCAGACATGCTGTTGAACAGCGGCCGACGATCTGGGGCTCTGGAGCCGGTCAGTAATTCAGAAGCCATATTGTATGCTACTGGCTAGGAAAGGTATGCATACTACCGATGCTGATGTGGTTTGTTGGCAAGTCCTTCGCTTTCCGAAAGTGATGTTTGAGGATTTTGTGATTTCGCTGAAAGAGCGGCGAAGTGGAGGCACATTGCCTCTGAATGCCGTTCTGTTTGCCTCCGAGTCCCACTTGTGAGGAGGAACGGAGGAACATCTGGTGAGGTCCGTTTCGCCGCTTTTTTGATCAACGAAGCGTCGGTGGGTGGGGTCGCAGTCTGTCGACATGTGACGGAGCTGTTTGTACCCCTCACAAGTGCATCACTAAGAAGCTGAAGGCTGAGTTAGTTTCTATCGGTAGGGGCGAAGGACGTGCCAGGAGGAAGAAGATGCCTACTTGCTAGCTACCCACAACAGTGCGGGATAGTTACATGTATCTAAATCTGTGCATTGGGCTCAGGATACCGTACGAAAGAGCAGGAACAAATCATGTCATAGGGGTGCAGCCTTTGTTGGTTCGTGTTCAGCATTGGCAAGTTTTGTTCAGTTCTGGCTGGCTAGTGGAATGCCGTCCAGCTAGCTAGTGGATTGTGATCCGGTGCCCCCAGCAACCACAGGTCACTGCCGCATCTCCTGCGGCATCTCCAGCACCGGCGGTGGTGGGCGAAACTGCCAATTTCTTCTCCATGCGTGGATCCTGCTTCCATTGCTTTCCCCTCTCTTTTCTCTTCTTCTGCTCCTCCCTGCGGCCAGTGCAACGGCACAAAAGTCCAGGGTTTTCTCTCAAGAGCCCGTACAGGAGACTTGTTTGTAAGGCATCACCTTTCTTTTGACGAATGAATGAGGAGTAGGTTTCTCCGTTGGGGGTGTTAAACAACGTGTTTTCCATGTGCACGATCCACTGAGTGGAATCTTGAAGCGGAAGAAGCGTATCCACAAGTTTGTCTACTCGGTCTGTGTTTTTCCTCACGTTGGCCAGTCCAAACCGGTTGAGCTCCAAGTGATACTTGATTCGCGAGTCTAGACTATCCCAAGGCGAGCACTGAACCAGAGTCGTGTTGTGATTCTGTATCATATCCAAGCACACAGATACCAGTTCTTCTCTCTCGATTGCCTCCGATAGCTCATCGTACTCTTCTTCGAAGGCATCCAACAGCGATTGGTAGTCGGCCTCGAATGCACGCATGTTTGGATGGAGTTTGATTGCTTCAAAGATGGGCAGAGCATCGAAATGGCAGTCCCTGATCTTGAGAGTTGTCAAGGAGCGACCTTTCGCCCCTCCCACGAACTCTGCCACGACCGATGTTGGCTGGGCTCCCAGCACGGTCTCCCACATTGGCGAGCAATCCTCCAGTTCCAGTGTATCCAAACAGTCGGGGGCACACCGGAGGCGCTCTGCAAAGTGCTTGTCCGATAGTTCGAACCCATCCATCAACAACCGCCTTTTCCTTCCAGGAGAAATATTGGCGTTTGCTGATGTCACTTCAGGAGTCTCCCAAAAGAGGACGGAGCGTTTCATTAAATTCCAGCCATCCACGTGCTCGGTGTAGAGGCAATTGAATCGGACCGATGACATGGCAGTATTGCCGGCCAGACCTGTTTCCAGAGCACCACACCACCGCTGCCATATGGCAGCGTCTTTCTCGTTCAGGTTGATACCAAAGTTGGTAATGGCTGTATTCCTCGAAAGGAAGAGTTCCATGGACGCCAAGACATCCAATCGTTCCGCCTCGTTCAAGCAGCTCTCTTCCAGATTGGGGAGCGTGAGATGATCCAAGTGAGTGGTATGTTGGTTGGTGGCAAGTTGATTCATCAAGTACGTGAAGGCGTCAGCGTCCCACCCCTGCGAATAGTAAAACTCGACCTTTTCCACTCTTTCAAAGAGTCTTGCCAGAGGTTTCGTTTGCTCCAATGACAATGGCTTCACATCCCGTCCCACCATGAGGGCATCGAAGTCGTCAACGTCAGTCTCAATGAGGTTGATTTCTTTTGCAGGAAATTCATCTGCTATCATGAAAAGAATGTCGCTTGGCTGATTTGTCATCAACGCCAAGCACAAGGCATCAGACCAATGTTTAGAACCCTCGGAGCCCGATTTGCGACAGAACTGCAGCAATGCCTTGATGGTGGAATTTGGGAACGGTTGTGCAGTATTGAGCAGGGCACAGTGTACCGGTAGGAGACCACGCGGCGTCATTCCGTCCTCCTTCGCCCTTTTGAAGTGAGATGATAAGGATGGCTTTTGGATCAGATACTCCACGACGGGATAGGAGGAGTATTGGCATGCCATGTGAATGGGCGAGCCTCCATCGTGGTCCTTCATGTTAAAGAGTTTGGTTTCGTTGGGACATATCTGCAGCAGCTTTTGGATTGAGTCGAGCCCCACTCCCATCTTGAAGAACAAATGCAGCGTAGTGAAGGATCCACCACCAACGTCGTATTCTTGGTATACCAACCGAGGATTGCGTCGTAAGAAATCTAGCACCTCCCACACGACAACAGGATTTGCATTCTCATCTGCCAGCTGTGTATGCAACTGTCGCAACCTCTCCACCACCATTTTCGTGTGTTTTTTTCGGAACATCTTTTGGAACATGTTTCTTGCTGTGGTTCTTTGGATAAAGTCGTATTTGGTTCAGTTTGTGCGAAAGACTTCAGTGCAACAGACACAGACGGATGGTGGATAGAAGGGATACCACATGGGTGCACATCAAAGATCATGGCTCAGCCCTGTCATGGCACGAGCTGTGGTTTTAGAGGCACGACTGGTACGACTGCAGTCATGCTACGGTAGGGTTAGAAAAACAATCCACTACGGTACCGTCGACCCACATGGTGTACATGTACTAGTAGTCTTACAGCTCAGCTGGATTAAATTAGAATCTCACCCGCCACTCATTTTTCTGTTTTTGGGTCTTTCCCACTTCCAAATTCCAGGAAAGAGACCACAGTCAAGATGGCAATCCCTACTACCACTGATACTGACAACAGTGACAATGAGAGCGAAAGCAGCGGCAGTTCTGTACTCGGCCTTGGAGGAGTGGATTTTTCTGGGGTGGATTTTGACTCGGCTACAGATGATGGAATGACGGGTAGCGAGAAATTGTCCATGGAAATGGAACAAAAAGCTGCTTTTGGTGACTATCAGCCAGTGGAAGGCGCTCAGACTGATGATTTGTTGAGTGGAGTGATGGAACTGGGTCGGTGCTTGGATACCGGGAGTTACATTCAAGCTCTGCAGGGGAGCATTGCAAAGAGGTATTTTGGTACTACACCTAAGCAAGATGAGAAGGAGGACTCCACTACCAATGCAGAAGAAAAGCCCAAGTTCTCGTCATTTGGATCATTCCCATCTATGATCGGCGAGGATGTGATTCTTTCCAAAGTACAAAACTTGGTCGACTGCGTGGAACTGGAGTTTTTGGCCATTGCTGCTTTCAACCTCTTTCTACAGCTCAACTACACGGGACCCTCACTGCTGCAACAAGACAAGCCAATTCAAGAGGCACATCAACAAGATGAAGATCCCTTGAGAGACATCAACCCCCATCCATGCTTTCTAGAGTATTTCCAGCAATGTGCCGATACTAAAGACGAGGCAAAATCACAAAAAGAAGACGACAACAACAACCAAACAACTACAGTCAATACAAGCATCACCACATCTTCCCACACTCAAACCAAGTATCACAACGCTGTCTTGGCGGAGCTTTCTGTGGAAGGAGAATGGCCTTGTCAGGTTTGTCACGCTCCCTATTTGCTGCTGCTTGCAAGATCCATTCTTTCTGCACTTTCCTCGGCGGGTACAAATAGTCAACAACGATGGTTCGGGCCCCCTACATCCATAGAATCAGTGAGATCCCTGTCCAAACACCTTGCAGGGCTACATCTGTGGAGTGCACGTGTTGCTGTCGCTCATGGACGACTTTTTCAAACCAGTGAGCCTCCTGCAACCTTGTGGCAAGAAGTGCACGATACCTTTCAAGTTTGCATGGAACGGCAAGATGATAATGACGAAAACTCCAAGCACACGACTGCCGCCACGGTCATGTTGGAATACGGATTGGCAGAACATCATTTCCAACAACCTGGAATGGGAAAGGCGTCCTTTCAGAAAGCCAAACAGCTCTACGGATTGCAAGTCAAGCTTACGGGAGCCTCTGGAAAACGGACCAAGTTTCAAACCAAGAATACCGCCCAATTGCTGGTCGAAGCAACTTCTTCCTCGGCCAATGCGGCGGAAACTGACAAGAACGACGACCCTAGCAACAACACAAATGTTCGCGAACAAATGATTGAACATTCGGAAGAAGAAGTGCTTCTGGAACGCATCCAATTTGAAGATAACACCAAGAACCAAATTCGACAACTCACCATTCTCGATCGAGCCATTCTGTTGGGGCTCTGCTTGGATGTCAAGAATAGCAATCCGACGGGCGATGAGCTGACGGGCGAAGAAATGAGTGCCTACCTGGCCACTGTGTTGGATCATCACGACGATTGGATGGTCTACTCGACGGCGTTGTTGGAACGGGCATGGTTGGAATTCGAGCGATCACATGGACGGGAACGTGCCATTTTGCAAATTCAGGCTTTGGCCGATCAACATACGAATCGACTGACGCTCACACAATCCACAAAGAAGAGCATTGAGGAATCGGCGCCCGTTCAGGATCGGTTGCGCCATTTGCACGAGATTGTGTACCCGCCCCGGTGGGGCATGATCCAGGATTTGGGCGATCGCTACGCCAGTTTGGGAATATTCATGAGCGCGGCAGAGCTGTACACCCAAATCGAACTGTGGGATGAAGTGGTGGAATGCTATCGACGATCAGGCAGGGAAGAAAAGGCCAAGGAACTCGTCAGAGAACGATTGAGCATTCAAGAAACGCCACGCATGTGGGCTGCACTGGGTGACTTGACGCAAGACCCGCAGTATTGGGAAAAGGCAATCGAGTTGTCGCGTGGGCGGTTCTATTCAGCGTTTATTGCGTTGGGTGCGTATGCCTTTGACACAGAACATGATATGGCCAAAGCGTCCGAGTATTACAAAAAGGCGCTCGAAATTCGACCCGTGGCACCGGCGATTTGGTTCCGCCTTGGAACCATCAGCATGCGAACGGCACAATGGGAGGATGCGCTGCGGGCCTTTAGTCGAGTAGTGCAACTAGAACCAGAAGAGCACGAAGCCTGGGCCAATGTGGCTGCCGTCCATATCCGAAACAAGAATCCAGCAGAAGCCTACCCGGCATTGCAAGAGGTGAGTGGATCATTGCAACGGCATCCGTTTTTAACAGAGAGTTGGGCTCACATGTCGACTTTTTTCTCCTCCTGTTTGATGATAGTCATTGAAACACTTTCGCAACAATTGGCGCGTCTGGAGTAGCAAGCTGTACGTTTGTCTAGACCTGAAAAAGTATGATGAAGCCGTTCAGGCTTGCAATTCGATTCTGGATTTGAAGAACCAGAGGCAGGCTGCAGAGGGCATCCCTCCATTGGAGGAGAAGTGCATCCGTGCCATTGTGGGTGGACTCATCCGAAACTACCAGAATGCGCAGCAGGATAGCCAGAATAACCCGGGAGGGCTGGATGTGGCGCGAAGAAGCCTATCGCGTGTTCATGCCCTGCTGGACCGACTGCAATCCACCAGCGACCCTGAACCCTGGCTGTTTGAAACAGTGGCTTATTTTCATGATCAGATTGGCAATGGCAATGCCAGTCAGGAGGTGATTGACAACCTGATGAAAGAGTATCGTGTCTTGCAAACTGTTCCCGGATGGGAAAAGGATGACCACCAGGTGAAAAAGGTGTGTCAGGTGGTGAACCAAATTACACAACTGCAACGTCGTCAAGGCAGCAAAGAAAGCTTGACCAAGAGCAAGTTTTTGGTGCGCGGTGTCATTCAAAAGGTTAGCAAGTCGAGAATGGACGCAACCAAGATTCCTGAGGATATTGGGCGCATGGAGTCTTTGCTGGGTGAGCTGGAAGAGGATATTCAAAAGCTAAAATAGATCGCTCCTTCTAGACTATAAACACTGTTAGTATTTAGTAGTTTGAATCATTCTATTCCGTGTCGGGCCCAATACTCTTTGCACCATTCTTGACTAGTGCCTTGACAGTGGGATGATCCTCCTGAAACATATGCATGGCCCACCACAGCGGCGTCCCTCCTTTTCCACCATTGGTTCTTGTATTTATTTCTTCTTGATCCATCAAACCACAGAGGTATGTGACGACTACCAGTACCGTGTGTATACAAAGACAAAAACGAATGAAACACCAGGTGAGTCCAACAGACAGTCAAACAATTCCTGTGTAGAAGACATGTGTCAATACAAATAATGTAATACTGCAACAATCTCACCTTTGGTATGTCCCGCTCGTGCCGCTTCATGGAGTGCCAACCAGCCATTGTGATCCGACTTGGTGACAACGGTTGGATCCTGCTGGACCATTTCCTTCATGCGTACGAGCATGCCTTTGGCGGCCAAATTGTGAAAGAGTCGTTCGTCTTGTTCGTCCATCTGTAATTTGTGCTGCATGCCCTTTTTATTGCCCTTGTTATTGTTGGTATTTTGTCCAATAAAATCGACATTGCTGTTTTTGTTGTTGTTGGAATTCTTCTTGTTGCTATTGCTGCGTTTGGAATGTTTCTTGACGTAGACATATTTTTGTTCCCACGCATCTTGTTTCTTGTGAGGCACATAGTAGGGACGCTTGGGTTGTGGTGGGTCTCCTTCTGTCATTTCCGCAGCGTCGAGCTCTTGTATCTTTTGGAGTTGATTGTCGAGTGCCTGTTCAAACAATTGTTTGGGATCTTTTCGCAGTTGAAAATGCTGTTTGGAATGTCCCATGGGTTCGAAATGCAGAAATACATTGGCGTAGGATTGTCCGTTCAATGGATACGGGCGACCGTGAATGATCGAGGCGCTTTCATAGAGGAGCTATACAAAAGAAAAAAAGAAGGGAGTAAGAAACAGAAATGGAAATCTCAACTGCTGTCAATTGTTGGATCTACTGAAGTTACTCACCATTTCCCCCGGTTGCAACGTCACATTTCGTGCCACACCGCCATGATCAATAATCTCCAATGGCCATTCTTGTGTGACACTTGTTTGTGCCACATTGATGATTGCCGAAATGACCAATGGCAATCGATCGACATGCGGTGCTAGTACGGCTCCTCGATGATAGACGCGAATGCCATAGAGCGACGTGGGAACCAATGGCAATTTGCACCATGCCTCTAGCACCGATTGGACTTGTGTTAGAATGGTGTGGCGTTGCGATTCGGTCAGTGATGGTTGTTCTGTAGTTCCGGGCAATCCTTCCAAGGGCAAGACTTTGGTGGCACTGGCCCAATGATTGGTGTAAATGTTTCCGGGTGGCCAATTCTCACGGAGTAAGCGTTGCTTGGAATGGGTCTCGTAGAATTCTTTGAGAGTGGTAAAGGCACTAATGGGCGCCTTTAGTTTGGCATATCCTGCCGCAGTATAGTTTTTCATGAGCGGTGGTTGTCTTCGAATCATGGATATGCGTTCCTCGTCACTTTCCCGACATTTTTGGTCGTCGCCGCCGTAGAAGCGCTCACAGCCCTGCATAAAGTGATTGTACCGTCGCACTCGTCTGTGGCGTTCCACTTCGGATGGATGGGCATTGGAGTGACGGTGCATGGGCCACGAATAATCCACACCCGGGACATAGTCAATGTTGTCATTACTGTTGTCATTGTCGGCAGTCACCAAACTCAGCACACATGTTGTACTAAACAGCCACAGAAAGAACAACGACAACAACGTGAAGCGGAAGGTCGTCATGGTGATCTATGGATTTGGTTGTTTGTTGTCCTCTTTCAAGTTTTCGGCTTTGACCGCTTTTGAAACCCTAACAAAGACTTACGGATCTTTGTTAGGGTTTTTCCAAAAGACAGCGACCATGACGACCACTCCTTCATCGGCAACAACGACAACGCCTCGCACATTCTCATAACGTTACCAGTTGACAACACAACGCAACCATGGCCACTCGCGGTGTCTTTCAGCTGCAAAAGTTACGCATGTTCTACTGCGAACATGGTGGATCCTCAAGAGCTGTTCGAGATTACTTGGGGGAGGGCGGATTGGTGGAATGGGCCAGGAATCATCCCACTGTTGAAATCATTTTGAAACCTCGGAATGGTAAGTATACATACCATACTATTATACAGTCTACTATGTTCGTTTTGTTTCGTCATGTCAAAAGACTCATCATGATGGTGTTATTGTTGTTGTGGTTCTCTCCATACTTACTATTATTCACAGGCAAACACCCGTACGTGCTGGGAGAGTACAAAACGCAAGCTGCCACGCATCAGATTTGCATCAAGAACTCCACACCTCAAGACATTCAACAAGTACTCGACAAACTCCACAATCGATCGGGACGAAAGATTAAGAAAATGGTCAATCCGGTCGTGACACCCACGCCCAGTATTCAAGGAGTTTGGACGCCCATGTTGGATCTGCAAAATACAACCTTTCCAGTCCGGTTTGTAGACTAGCTAGCTAGTAGACTATAAGGTAATAAGAGCTTAGTAAGAACGACTTCAGAAACTTGAGGTGATGATCAATGGATCATCATTATAATAATTATTGATTGTGTACAGCAGTGGACTACACAGTGTACTATTTCTATTATTATTATTTGATGGATCATCATCACCGTTGTGGAGCAAGAACATCCACACCCCAATTCAAGTAGGCTCGCAGATACCGGGCGGCCGCCAGAGGAAGATCACGGGGCACTCCCACTCGGTCTCGTAAATAGCCAAAACTATTCAAGACACCCACCAGATGCGAGTCGGGCACGGTATCTCGTAGTAGTTGGGCTTGTTCCTCTGTGGGGACACCATCATCACTTGACAACAAAAGGGCAGAACAAACTACTCGCAAGGCAGCATCTACTGTTGGGCGAACATTCGAATCGGCATCGGCGTACGGATCGGCCAGTTCGGCTCCAAATGTTTTGCGGGGATTCTGGCTGCCTTTGGGGCCACCGCGGGCGGCAAATGTGGAGATCTGATTTGCAAAGCAAAGCAAACCGAAATGAAATGAAACGATGACATAACATGAGGCACAGGAACCAAAACAGACGCCATTTGCAAAACACACAAGGAACGTATTGGTAAGTTCTTTTTTAAAGGGTAGTACTCACATTCTCTCCATTTCCGGCTAGTTTCCAGGCCGCCATCAACCGACATGCCTTGGCCATGTCTTTGGGGTCTGCCGATTCATATGTGCCATCTGCGTCGGGAGAGATTCCCACGGATTCCAACACACAAACGGGCAATGGAGGACCCTTGTACAGAGGTTGCACTGGATCATCAAATGATAGAGGAAGACTCCAGGCACCGTCCTGTACAGTACATTCATCCAGAAACGAAAGGCGTCCCATGCATGTGAGAGATTCACGTCTTGGCTCAAAAGCAACCATGTCAACCGTACATATACATACCTTTCCAAGAATGGTATTGGAGAATGCCACTCGATCCTCTTCAAAACCTCCATCGTATCCAGGACCATACTGTGGTGGAATGTCTTTGATATGAGTGTAGTAGTCACTCTTGAAGGCAAGGTACGACTCTCGCTTTTCAAAGGCTTCCAACCAGGCATTGAGTCCTTTCAAGTTCCATTTGGGGTCACGCAGATTGAGTCCTTTCCAATAGGCACAACTGGCCAGAATTCGTTCCACATGGGATACATAGATAAAGTCAATCATATTGGGGCCGTCAAATTTGTCGTCGCCAAAGAACCAAGGTCCCTGGGTTGCTGTCAGTTCTTTGTCCACTTGTCGGACGCAATCGAGAAATCCTTCCATCGACCCGGACATTCCGCCGCCACCACCCATGAGTTTTTGTAAAGCACCACCAGGTCCTTCGGGACGAAACAGTAGCGTACACCACCAACTAAACAATTGTCGTTCAAGACGCGCCAATTTGTCATAGCGAGCCCATCCCGGCTGATCCTCTTCTTGCGGCAACATGGGTTTGTATCCATCCGCGGGAGGATGCCATTTGTCCAGCAATTCCATAATGACTTGCGATTCGGTAATGATTTGTCCCTTGACTTCCATGGCGGGCAACAGCCCATTGGGTACCTTTTGCAGAAAATCTCGTGGCTTGTCCCCATACGATCGCATGGGCACCAGCTCTATTTTGACAGGAGTTTGTTTTTCTTCAATGAGCAACATGAGCTTTTGACAGTAGGGACACCAACCGGCATGATCTCGAAAGACTGTGATTTCGGGATCGGCATCAGGAGATTGGAATTTCCGCAGCGTGTTTTGGACAAACGCGGATCCTTTGCCTTGTTGCCTCAAAGCGGTTTCCGTCTCCAATGCTTGGCCGACCACGGTGTTCTTGGATTGGGCCTGCAAATCTGACCACGTGGGGACTTCCGTAGTGGCGGCTGTAGACGAGGACATGCCCAGTGTTGTCAAAGAAGAAATCGGTCCTGCCAAGTTGGATACAAACGCACTTCCTCGACGAAAGGCAGCGGCAAATACCATACAAGAGAGCAATGCTGATGGCTGCACAACAATCGCGGTCAACTTCATGATCCAGCTCACTCCACAACTGGACAAATGTGGATCAGCAGTAGCTAGCTAGCTAGCTAGCTAGAGATATTTGTGATCGAACTGTTGGCAATGGGAAGATTTGCAATGGCAATCAACGCAATCTCGATCCAAAGTTGCCACTCTGATGATGAGCTGGCTGAGAGGCCAAAGAAAGATGACAGTGACGTCATAGAGATTGCTTTGGATGCGGTTCCATGATGTGTGACAACTCTGCATACTATTGGACTTGCCGGTACCACTTTTGAGATCTTTCGAAGCCATGATGCAGCCCATCCTCAAGCTTCATCGGCAGTACACAAACAGAACAACTACCAGGTACCACCACCTCAAGCAGACCAAACCAGCCTCTTCCAACTCTCTTTGTTGGTAGCCGAGAGCCTGATCCATCCTTCCTGAATATATTGATCTGAATCCATAAACAGAAGATCTTGCAAGCTTCTTGATCTTTTGGCTGCTGCTAGTTACTTTTAGCCACTTTTAGCCTCTCCCTGTCGGTTGGCACTCTTCGCCATTCTCGAAGATACCTGTACTATTGTTCCTCATATATTTGTTCTGTTTAAGAGGCAGCCACAGATACTGCTCATCATCAGGACCACACCACATACAATCTGTTCCATCATTTCCTTCAAGGTCAAAGTCAAAGTCTTTTGAGTACCGTGTACACAAAGTTGCGGCGATACAATGTCAGAAGAAGAGGTGAGGGCTGCATCATAAAATCATTCGTTTATTTGGCATCTTTGGTAGGAGTGGTTGGATCCAAGCAACTAATGCATGTCATGTCATCCTTTTTTCTGTCGCTGGCAATGATATGGGCAGAAAGCAGCGTCACCTGAAGCAGAGGAGGAATCTTCCTATGCATTTGATGACTCCAAGAATGGAAAAACCTTTGCGGAGACCTATGTTCTAGATAAAGATGTGAGTACCTTGTGTATGAAACTCAAACTGTTTTCATTGGCGTTGCTGGCCAATATCAGTAGCATCATCTGACACCCACATCCATTGCCTGTCTGCCTCACAACAACAGTTGGGCAGAGGAGCCTTTTCCGTGGTCAAGGTGGGCCATCATCAACAAAAGACGGGAGAATCCTTTGCCATCAAGATCATTACCAAGGCAGAAATGTACGACTTTGACAAGGAATGTCTCAAGAACGAATTGGCCGTCATGAAGAGACTGCCAGCACATGATCACATTGTTCAACTCTATGACGTCTTTGACGAGACAGATTTTGTGCACTTGATCTTGGAAAAGGTGGATGGAGGAGAGTTGTTGGACCGATTGATCAACAAGGAGAACTATACGGAATGTGAAGCCAGAGATCTTTGCAAGATTGTCATGGAAGCCATGACACACTGTCACAAGAACAAGGTGGCTCATAGAGACGTACGTATTGTATTGTGACCCCAGTTATAGTAGTGCAACCTGTTTGCGTATGCGATTGCCGTCTCACCTTTCAACCTTTTTCAGATCAAACCAGAGAATATTTTGATGGCCTCAGAGACGGTAAGATACGGTAGATGGATCGGAAATATGTGGGAGGGACAATGCATAAGAAGTCTCACTGTCTGGCCCTGACTTTTTCTCGCGAATCACAAAAACAACACGACAATAAATATTGATGGTTTATATCAGGACGACTCGACAATCAAGATTGCCGATTTCGGTTTTGCCAAGTTCTGCCCCGAAGACGATTCCTTGAAAACCCAATGTGGATCTGCCATGCATGTAGCACCGGAGATTCTGACCAAAACCCCCTACGGAACCTCGGTAGACTGTTGGGCTCTCGGTGTGGTAATTTTTACCTGTATCGGTGGGTATCCTCCGTTTTATGGCAACAACAATCAGGAAACCTTCAAAAAGATTCTCAAGGGAGAATTCGAGTTCACAGAGGAATCCTTTGGACACATCACACAAGATTGCCAAGATATGATTACGGGATTGCTGACCATGGACATGAAGGACCGATGGTCCACACAACAATGTTTGGACTGTGCCTGGATGAAGGATGATCCCAAAATGTTGAAGAGGAACTCTCTCCTGCCCAATTTGAAGAAACTGGCCGAATTCAGTGCCAAGCGAAAATTCAAGGGGGTCGTCAATGCGGTTAAATTTGCCCGCAAGCTGTCCAGTTTTGAAGAAGTGGCAGCCTCGTCCATGCATGACGAGTCAGAAGTGATGCACGATGTTACCAAACCCAGGGGGCGTCGATCTTCGATACACGACTAGCTAGCTGGCTCTCACCAAAGAAGGGATGGACGGACGAGATATCGGAGCTTGACGACGACACCGACAAGTTACAATATCAAAAGTCTTTTCTCGCTTCCGACACAAAATGCTACAGCTGAATGCCGTCGGTTCGCTACCCTGCAGCAACCAAACAACCCGATGAAACGGAAATACATGTAAATTCCCCTCTCATATCCTTTGAATCACTGGCCACGGGCCGGCTACCCACCTAGAAATTGTTCGTGTTTTGTGCCGAGTTTCTGGCTATTTCAATGGAGCGTTCATTGACATATTCCTCCTGCTGAGGATCCTATCGTAGATGAATTTTGTCAGCCAAAGCTGTGACTTGTGCACTGTTTTTAGTTTTGCTTGTAGGGTAGTATCCCTGAAAGAGTACGAGTGGCGCGGTCCAAACGGGTATTCCTCCCGTGGCAACTACGGTAGTATCTCCTTGTCATGGAAGGGCAGTCAGTATGCCCGGGACGCTGATGGCATTGTCTGCTGGGTCCAATGCTACGGTATACTACGATTACCAATTGCTAGCTCTAGCCAAAACTACAACTACTATAAAGAATGAAGCCATGAGATTTGTTGTTGAAAAGACATTGTCTACTATGTGTTATTGTTCTATTATTATGTTTGGTTGTATGTAAGATTGTAGCATAGCATCAACAATGATAGAGGTTGGTTGTCAGGTGTCACGAGTATTAACTTTGGACTTTCGTCGCGTGGAGGACGTTCGGACAAGCACTCTGAAATAGAGGCTGCCTAGCACAGGAACCACAAACCTGGCTACCTTGTATGTGACCCTTCGATTGAACCAACTGTATTCATCTCCGCAAAATTGTTGTATAGCCCTGCACCCCACCAGATGCTTGCTCGTTGTGTATTGTATTTATGTGTTAGTAGTCCCCACAATCCGCCGTCGCCCCACTTACCTCTTGTCCTAGGCTGGAATGTAACGATCAGGCTTTCGTACTCGTCGTCCGGAAAGTGTTGTTGTTGTCTGAACTGTTGTTTGCTGCTGTGTGTCCGTCACAGGTCTTGTTGTCGTCGTTGTCCTTGCCTTTGGCTGTGTCTTCTTGCCCTTCAACTTTGGCCTTTTCGACTTCTTGGCCGCCGCACATCTACGCTTTTTAATTCTAGGTTGTTGTACTGCCACCCGACGTGGCTTTGTCTTGATTTGTTCTGCGATTCTCTGAGATGCAATCGCCGCCGTGCGTCTCTTTGATCGTCGTAAAGTTGACTGTGCTGTGTCCACATTGTCCTCCTCATCGACTCGGTTGTCGACCAGTGGTTCTTCACCATCAACTTGTTGGTGTTCCTCGACCAATGGTTCTTCAGCTGCCACTTGGCCAGTCACGAATTCGTAATCCATATCGTCCGAGGCATCGCCTGCCTCCAATCGTAGTGTCTTGTGCCGCCGCATGAATTCCTTGACAAGGTCTCCACCATCCTTCATAAACGCAGCGAGAATGTTGTTGGGTACCACTCCAAGTAGCACACCATTCATCATTCGCATCTCCAATACAAATGGTTGTTGTCCATGCACACTGATTTTGAAGTGTCTCACATGCCACTGTTGAACGCATGGGACCACTGCTGTGCATGTGGGAACCACCGCTGCTTCGCATGTGATTGTGGCATCGTATGCCATCTTGTTGTCGTCGACGGTCGAGACTTTTTCTATTGCCTCGACCTCTTTAGCTGTTGTTGTTGGTTGTTGTTCTACTACCATGTGCTGCATCTTCCATGCAGACATCCTTGACCTTGCGATAGACGAATCGTCGATTGGCAATCTGTTCTCGCGTATTCAAGGTGCAAATTTCGTCGTCGAGGTTTCGCTGAATTCCACCGTGATGAACATGTTATAGGCCGGTATTCATGACAGAGGCTATGATGTTATGATTGTGGGGTTCAGGTTGAGTACCAGTGTTCCAGTTATGCTGTGTTCCTGTGTACATCTACATGTATGCCATACTCACCCAGTATGAAACAGAAGGCTGAAACAGAAGGCTACCTATGGGAATACAACCAAGATAGCTATCATAATTTTATCTAAGCCACAAGTGTAAAGACACCTCCAGCAAACTTCGAAGTTAACGTCGAGGTGTGTCGTTCATCGTCGCATCGAGTTGAGGCTCGAGAATTGTTTGACAAAGACAAGGCATTGGTAACACTGCCGAAGTTCAGTCTGCGTCGCGCAACTCTCAGGCCATCAACAACAAAGTCGATCGTACGATACGAAGCAATCCAGTCGTGGTTGAGTGACGTCATCGATCAAGTCACTGATCGTGAGTCCAGTCACACTCCGAGTTCTCATCCAGTCACACTCCGAGTTCTCATCCAGTCCTAGTTTCGAGTCACAGTACGATTCGGAACTCCCTTTTAAGAAAGTCGAGTCAAGAGTCGGGAGTCAAACGTGAAACAGTCCAAGTCAACGTCCGGTAACTCGAAGTCAACGTCCCGTAACTCGAAGCAAGTCTAAGCCAAGTCAACGTCCAGTCAGTGAGGTAGTTCCTCAATAGGAGTCAACGTGAAGACATCCATCTAAGGTACAGACACAGATCTAAGGTACCATCAGTGAGTCCAGGTTAAGTTACCTGAGTGGCATCGTTTGTCAAAGAAGCCGTGCCAAGTACAGTGCAAGCGTAGAAGTGTGGAGCCAAGTCAAGTGCAAACATCCGCAGTAACGCAATCAAGTTAAGGTCCAACAAAGTGCACCGAAGGATATCAAGTTACTTGAAGAAGTCAACAGCAACGTGAATGGCTGAGCAAGTCAATCCAGAAAGTAGGACGTGGCAGAGAAGTCGAGGTCGATTAAGAAGAATTGGTGTGACCAACCGAGAAGAAAACGTGCAAAGTGGTACGGAAGCGGGTCAAGTTGAAGAAGCCCAAGTGAAACTCAAGTCGAGATTGAAGAACAAAACGACAGTATGTCTGAAACAGCCGACATTACGAAAGCAATAAACAAGCCCCCAACATTTGATGGAAGCCCGGAGAACTACATGATGTTTATGATGAGGCTCCGTTCCTACTGTGCTATCCATGGGTGTTCTGAGGCGCTGTCTAAGGAGAATGATCTACC